TTAAAAATGAGAGCTTGAAAGAGCATTGTTCGTGTTGCGGAGAATTGTTGAAGATGAAATCTGAGAAGTTGCCAAAGAACAACAACAATTCTTTCCTTGCTCCTGCTCCATCTCCTAGGGTTTCTTACAATAACGAATCTGAGTTTAAGGATCTTGATGTGGACAAAACACCGAGTTTCGTAAGAGGAGGTAACAAGTTCTTTGCAATTCCTCTGTCTGATTCGGCGCAAAACAGTCCACGATGGTCCGTTCGTCCTCTCAGGAAATCACTTTTGGACAAAACAGAGAATGCTTCGGACATGGCTGATCCAAACGGTGAATCCATCCTTCATCAGCTCAAGAAAGAGGTTCGCTTGGACAAGAAGTCACTGATTGATTTGTATATGGAGTTAGATGAAGAGAGAAGTGCTTCAGCTGTTGCAGCAAACAACGCGATGGCTATGATCACTAGGCTTCAAGCCGAGAAAGCCGCTGTTCAAATGGAGGCTTTGCAGTACCAAAGAATGATGGATGAACAAGCAGAGTATGACCAAGAAGCCTTGCAATCTATGAGTAGTGAATTGGCCAGGAGGGAAGTGGAATTAAAGGAGCTTGAAGCTGAATTTGAGGCTTACAGAGAAAGATATGGATGTCTGACTGATGGAGACAATGCAAGAGAAGAGTTTCTTGAAGAACAAGAAACCAAACCAGTCTCTGATTTTGCGGTATCTTCTTCAATTCATGAAAAGAATGGATCGAACATTGATCGAAATGGGTCTCATAAAGCCGAAGAATCGGAGTTTATTGCGGAGGAAGAACAAGGTAAGAATTTTATTCGAGTTTTTCGATCATTCTTCTGTGTTCTTTAAGCTTTACTAAAAACCATTTTATTCTTGTGATGAAATTGGGCAGAGATTGAAAGCAAAGAAGGGATTGTAAAAGAGCTTTCAGCGATCACGGAGAGGCTAAGTGCTCTTCAATCAAATGGTGAACTATTGAAACATATTGCAGATGTTTTAGATGTTAGTGAAGGAGAAGCAATTCTATTGCAAATATCTCAGAATTTACACATGCTTCGTAGTTTTGTTGCTATGCCTTCAGAATCCATGAACTTCTTGTAATACATATTTTTATGATTTCTTAGAGAACAAGCAAGCTTTTGAACGCCTTGTCTCAACTTCAAAACATTTCTTTTATTCTTTCTCACACTAACAAGTTTCAGATTTGCTCCATAAACCCAACTTGTAAGACGGATTTGAGGCTTGATTGGTTGAAACGCAAATTTGTATGTTTGTGTTTATATGTGATTTTTCAAGAAACGTTTCACATTTTACATTTTTCTATTCTTTTCATAAAATATTTTGTCAAATGTAAACGCTAACGCTAAACGCAAAGAAA